TCACGTGTTTTTAACAAGATTGCCACGCTGATGTGTCGCTCTCACAATGATTTGACTTCTATTTAAATAATTACCCAAGATTTATTAGACTATTTACAGAATTTGCCATTAGTCTTATACATCCATATATCCCATTAATAATTAAAAACAAACACTTTTTGTTTATCTTATATTACTATATTTTTATATTTATATTTTTCTTTATATATATTTATATAAATTTGTTTAGCGGATGGGTAAACAATCTTTTTATTTATATTTATATTTATGTTTATATTTAAATGATAAAATATATACATTTGGTTCAAGAATCTCGAATTCAAAACTACAAAATTTTTACATCTTTCATAATTTTTTTACTTAAATAAATAAGATAATCTCCTTTCTAGCTATATATGTTACGAATACTTAAAATCCTATTTTTTGGAGGAGTTCTAACTTTTCGAAGAAAAACATTATAACCACATTTGTATATAAACCAAAATATGGCCATATTATAAACATTTCGTAAATAATCCATTCATAATCTAAGAATCTTAGATTTGGAACACTACAAAATCATAGCTTGGAAACTATCAAATCTCATATTTGCTAAATTTTGGATTTCTTATACTTATTATAAAAAAAAAAAATTCTTTTTATACTACAAAACTAGGGGAGGTCCCCGCGCCGGGCGCGGGGTTGTATGTTGATTAAAACCAGATTTAGTCATTTAGGGTTATAAGTTTTAGATAATTATTGATTTAATTTTGTCAAGAGTATAATTTTTATAACGACATTAATATAGAATTATGGTAAAACGCCATAACGTTTGATATATTATTGCGAGAAAATAGTGATTATTATCCTCTGAATATAGTAAAATGCAAAACGGAAAACTAAAATCATTAGAACCAGAAAGTATAAATTTAGTAGTCTTAGTTTGCTCATCAACAACCAAAGATAATCAAAAGATCAAAATTGGATGTGTGACATTTGTCCTTTCTTCTTGTTGGAAAAGATATCTCCCATCCTCGTTACATCATGACAAGAGTGATTGAATAGAATCTGCGAACACTTGTATGAAGCAGTACCTCTTCGTGTACCTTAATTATCAAAGGAATATAGTTTCAATGTCTCAAACCCCAACAATACATGTTAAATAACAAAACCAAAACAAAATACTTTCACTCATTTCAGTTCTTGCAAATCTGAATATACATATGGTAATGTCATCAATACATTGCCTCCACTCAGCGAAAAATTTATTGACATAAAACCACGGTAGTCGATACCGGAGACGCTCACAACTACAAACAACAGAAATTTCGAAGGTACCAATAGTTCTTGACTTCGAATTTAATAATGTGACAATGAGAATAATGTGACATCGACAATATTATGTTAACTTACAAAATCCTTCAATTTTTACAAGACATTGAAGTTTAAAGATTATGTTCATTTGGAAACTCCTTCCATTATCCTAAAGATATTGATGTCAAAACTCTTACGTTAATTTTGATATCATGCTCTTCCTCTCCAGACTATTTTAAATAATTGCCCACTCGTCAATGACTGGCTTCTTGGGAGCAAATTCAATCTGATGAGTGTTGTTTTTGTACTTTTGTAACAGAGTATGGGATCACCTCCTGCTCCTCTGTGAGATCTTTCGAGGTATGAAATTTGGTTTTCTCTAGGATTTATCCTCGACAAAGATTGTTTTGATTTTGGACTGAGATACTTCTTGGACCGACACTCTTCTACCCATGAGATACTTAAATAATTGTCAACTCGTCAAAGATTGGGTTCTTGGGAGCAAATTCAATCAAATGAGTGTTGTCTATGCACTTTTTCAGCGGAGTCTCGGGATCACCTCATGCTCCTCTGTGAGCTCTTCCTAGGTGTGGAATTTAGTTTTCGCTAGGTTTTATCCTCGACAAAGGTTGTTGTGCTCCTGGACTAAGCTACTTTCTTGGACCCGGAACTCTTTCTCTCTAGAGTCACTTAAATAATTGCCGACTCGTGAAAGACTGGCTTCTTGGGGACAAATTTAATCCGATGAGTGTTGTCTTTGTACTTTTGTAACGGAGTCCCGAGATCACCTCTTGCTCCTCTGTGAGCTCTTCCCAGGTGTGAAATTTAGTTTTCTATAGGTTTTTTCCTCGACAAAGGTTGTTTTGCTCTTGGCCTGAGCTACTTTCATGGACCGTCGAGAGTCACTTAAATAATTGCCCACTCATCAAAGACTGGCTTCTTGGGGCCAAGTGCTGTATTTTCACTTTTGCAACAGAGTCTCGGGATCACCTCGTGTTCTTCTGTGAGATTTTTCAAGGTGTGGAATTTGGTTTTCTCTAGGATTTATCCTCCACAAAGGTTGTTTTGCTCTTGGGTTGAGCTACTTTTTGGCACCTGACGCTCTTTTTCTGTTGAGACACTTAAATAAATCTCGCTCCAATCGTCCTCTTCAGTCGTTAAAGACTGGTTTCCTGGGGACAAATTCAATTCGAGGAGTGTTGTCTACGCACTTTTGCAACGGAGTCTCAGGATCACCTCATGCTCCTCTGTGAGCTCTTTCGAGGTGGGAAATTTGATTTTCTCTAGGCCTTATCCTTAACAAAGGTTGTTTTAATCTTGGGATGAGCTACTTTATTGGACCCAACGCTCTTCCTCTCCTTACACTTTTAAATAATTGCCGACTCGTAAAAGACTGGCTTCTTGGAGATAAATTCAATCCGATGAGTGTTGTCTTTGTACTTTTGCAACAGAGTCTCGAGATCACCTCTTGCTCCTCTGTGAGCTCTTCCCAGGTGTGTAATTTAGTTTTCTCTAGGCTTTGTCCTCGACAAAGGTTGTTTTGCTCTTGGCTTGAGCTACTTTCTTGAACCGTCGAGAGTCACTTAAATAATTGTCCACTCATCAAAGACTGGCTTCTTGGGGGCAAGTGTTGTATTTGCACTTTTGCAACGGAGTCTCGGGATCACCTCGTGTTCCTCTGTGAGCTTTTTCAAGGTGTGGAATTTGGTTTTCTCTAGGATTTATCCTCCACAAAGGTTGTTTTGCTCTTGGGTTGAGCTACTTTCTGGCACCTGACGCTCTTCTTCTATTGAGACACTTAAATAAATCTCCAATCATCCTCTCCAGTCGTTAAAGACTGGTTTCCTAGGGAAAAATTCAATCCGATGAGTGTTGTCTATGCACTTTTGCTACGGAGTCTCAGGATCACATCCTGCTCCTCTATGAACTTTTCTGAGGTGGGAAATTTGATTTTCTCTAGGCCTTATCCTCAACAAAGGTTGTTATACTCTTGGGTTGAGCTACTTTATTGGACCCAACGCTCTTCCTCTCCTTACACTTTTAAAGAATTGCCCACTCATCAAAGACTGGCTTCTTGGGAACAAATTCAATCTGATGAGTGTTGTCTTTACACTTTTGCAACAGAGTCTCGGTATAACCTCATGCTCCTCTGTGAGCTCTTCCCAGGTGTGGAATTTAGTTTTCTCTAGGCTTTGTTCTTGACAAAAGTTGTTTTGCTCTTAGGCTGAGTTACTTTCTTTGTCCTAACGCTCTTCCTCTCCAGAGTCACTTAAATAATTGCCCACTCGTCAAAGACTGGCTTCTTGAGGACAAATTCAATCTGATGAGTGTCGTCTTTGCATTTTTGTAACGAAGTCTCATGATCACCTTCTGCTGCTTTGTGAGCTCTTTCCAGGTGTGGAATTTAGTTTTCTCTAGGATTTTTCCGCAACAAAGGTTGTTTTGCTCTTGGATTGAGCTATTTTCTTGGACCTGGCGCTCTTCCAGTCATGTGCCTTCTAATTGCTTAGAAAAGTAGCATCTCAAGTGGTGGTTTATAAGTTCTGGCGACAGCGTAATAACATTCTCCATAACTCCTTGCGGCAAATCATTTTCAAGATGGTGGAGTGGAGCTACGAAACATCTTCACTTCGAGATGAACAAAGCTTATGCTTATTTGGATTCGTTATCTATTTCCAAATCTTTCTTTACTCTACTGTAGTCTTGTTTTTATCTCTTTTTTTGCCAAGGTTGCTTTTGTGTAATTATTTATCTTTTGTAAAGCCTCAAACTTCATTTTAGATCATATTTACATGTTTAGGAAAAAATTAATTTGGAAAAATGGAAACAAAAAAAATAGATAAGCTTAGTAACTAATAAAAATTTCTGTGATCCTTAGCACAAAACAACTCTGCATTCCTGCAACTTTCAGCACACATATTTTTTAGCATCATTTGGGTGCCATTGCAAACAATAGTAGCCAAAACCATAAGAAACAATATCATAGAAACGTGATCGACTAATAAATATTCAGAAATTATATATACATGAAAAACAACAATATTCGAATACCTCGAGTGACTTCTATTCTAGTGAATCTCATGATTAATATGGTGATATTATCACATTGTTTACTCCGTTCTCTCAAAAATTTACAACAGTATCCACCATGTAGTCGACATTATAGACGTAAATTTATTATAAAATTAAGTTTTTAGCATACTACCCAAATTAAACTATAACAAATCTAATTTTGATTAAATTAATAACTTACAATTCATCTTCTAATTCCACATAAACTTGATCCCACACTTTATTATTGGTTTTCCGTCTTCAATATTGCTAACACTCACGACCCAACCAATTAAATATAATTATTTAAATTAATAGATCAAACCATAACAATGCAAAGAATAAAATATCCAAACAAAAGATATTATGGGACCAGGGAAATAAACATACTCAAAACTAAGTATCAATTTTCCTAAAAGATGCGAATGCGCAGTAATCAATCGCACCCAAGGAAGGTATATGTGAAACAAAGATTGATAAATTCCAATGAATTTTAAAATCATAAAAAGTATGACTAAGCAAACCGATAACATGAATCAAAATCTCTAAGTGTTATCCATCCAGGGCCTGCCCTGAGATTTGAAGGGCCAAATACTCAAAAAAAAGTTTTTGGTTATTGTGAAAGGTTTTAAAATTTAGGGCCAATTATAGTAAAATAAATAAAATTAGGTCCGTTTCATAAATAATTTTTGTTGAAGAATTTCAGAAACAAAATTTGGGCTACAGCAAAAGTTTCTTGTTGATGTCTATAGGGCCGGCCATGTATCTATCGCCCTTGGAAAAACCTGAATCCACGATGACGATAATACTCTCTATCAATTATAGTATGTATGTCGTGACCCTAACAAACAAAATAAAATTGTAAAGGTATAGCAATCTTTCAGCAAACAATTTATTTTATTAGAAAAACCAAAAATCTGTATAACCTCTGTATCAGTATAAGTTGGAACATATCGTCCAAGATCGAAGAACACTTAAATCTATTAAGTATCTATACTCAGATACTCTGATTTTACAAGGGAGCACTGAAGGGTGCAGATATGACACTCATGCTACGATAAAATCTTTCAAAGCATTTCTTGCTCATCTTCGGGGTTTTGTCCCATATTACGAGCCTATCTAATCTAATCAAATATACATGATGAGAATATGTCTTTATCAAGTAAGTAGTGGATTGATTAGGGTTAAGTGGTATACCAAACCTCCTTAATTAAGACTCTTGGTCTCTTAGTCTCTGTTTCTATACCCTCTGTTTTACCTCTTTTTAAAGGAAGAATCTAGATTATTCCACTTCATGACGTATTAATTAAATTTTCCAACATGCTATTTTTACATTTCACTGAATCGTTTGCTTCGCGGAACAGTTTCCTTCAAACATTGAGAAAAAAAAATCATCATTATTTGATGTTCTAAAACTGAACAACAGAGCAGATGCAGGTATATCATGGATATTGAGGCTTAGAGTTGATACAAAGTTGTTTCTGAAAGATTTACCTTGCTTTGATTTTAGTCTTTTCTCTCTGTCACATTTCCCCTTAGCACTGTCTGTTTTCTAGAAGTAGCAGACACAGTCAAAGGTGTCTGTTTCCTTTGAGCGGCAGAGCATAATCATTTCCCTACAAACCATGCGATACAATAATTAGCATTTTTCATATATAGTATCATGTCTGATAATCAATACCTTAATGGGATTGCTTTCAATACATGTATGAGATATGTTTTTCCGCAATTTCTTGCTCCGTGGGCGATGACATTAGCATCTTTACCCTCAAAGACAGTAGAGATAAGAGGCTTTATCTCCTTTGATAGAATTAAACCTGTGATTCTGTTTTTTTGTAGCAATAGTCCAATTTATATGAATCTTTCGAACTGCCACAACACAATAGTTAATATGGCTTGAAACGTTGCTAATCCACAACAGACTGTGAAAGATTTAACTCAAAACTCAAAAGTATATTCTACTCGGTGAGAACATTTTTGTAAAATTAGAAAATCGATAAATGAAAGATAAAAGATCAATTGAAACATCACCTGAATCTTCTTCATGCATCGTGGTTGCTTTCATTCATCCAAAACATACAATCGTTTAAAAAAACAAACACTATTAGAATTTATAGTAACGAAAATAATATGTATAGCCAAAAAACAAGAAGATGAGCATACCAAGGCTCCTCGGAGGCAACGATTGGTGTCTGAAAATTTTAGCAGTGTTGTGCCTCTTGTTGGTTGGAATTGGAACAACCAGCTGGTGTATAAGGATCACACATAACCTGCATGTATCAATAATCAATAATTTCATGGATCTGATATAGTTCCAATTGAATTTGGTACACTAATCAGATAAAACAAACCAACCAAGATGTTGTTGCCTTTATTGAAGTTTAATATAATAATTGATGATTAAGCGTTACATAGATGGATAAAGACGTGACAATAAAAAAAGATAGATAAAAGCAAGCTTTACATTTTTACACGCCTTGATTCAAGGCAAGACACCGAAACACCCCGTGAAACAAACCATGTTCATACCTAAATGAAAAATCCATAAAGAGATCAATATTTAAAAAGAGATAAAACTTCTGATCGCATCAATACAAAGAAATAATAATAATTGAGACTCCTGGTGAAAGATAATCAGAGAGAAGCAAGAGAAAAAGAAGAGTTCCCAACGATTATAGTGTATTGGGGTTGTTGAGAGGCCGTAATTTGCATCATGATGGAACCAATAATCAAACTGATATCAAATTATGTAAATACAAAATCAAAGCTTCTTTTTTTTTAGTGAAGAATATGGTAAATACAAAATCAAAGCTTCTTTTTTTTTTTTAGTGAAGAATATGAAATCTAAGCTGCTCGCAAAATATTATGGGAAAGCTTATAGATTTCTCAATACATCCAAGCATAATTTAAATATTAAACATGAAAGTACTAAAGTGAAAAACTCACCATATGTTCGATTGAATCAACAATTTAATTGTCCTGGAATTGTTTAACGACGTTGCATCCGTAACCTATAACCATACATAAACACCGTGAATTCATATGTGTAAAGCCAAATAAAATAAAACGCAAAAAAAAAAAAAATAGAAAGCAAAAAAAATGGGGTTAGTTATGATTTGAAAGTGAAACCTAGAGAAGGTATTTATATTAAACTGAAAGGCGGTGTACGATCTAAATTTTTTTAATTTTTGAAGATAATTACAACAACAAGAAATGAAGATTTATATATTGTGTTAGATCAAATCTTTATCAAAACAATTAATATTCCTAAAAACAATTAATAACTACTATGGATATTAATTATAAAAAAATATTCCTTATTTTATTTGTTAAAAAATGGAACAATAACATAATTTTTTTTAGATTTACAATTATATTTGACATTTATTTAGATACACCATCATTATCGGTATAAAATATAAAAGAAAGTTTCTTTTATTTTATCAGATTTGTGAATTTAAAGAATATATGATAGTTGTTTTGATATTATCGGCAATATCTATATATTTTAGAAAAGTAAATTTTACTTTTAAAAACAATTGGCTCGTAATTATCACAACATAAATTTATCATTAATATATCAAAAATATAATTAAACGATTAATTATGAGACACATCTTTTGTTGAAAAAAAAAAGAACCAAAAAGGAAAAAAAAACACGGAAAAGGAAGAGAAAAGAAGAAGACACGACCAATCCTTTCTCCGACGTAATTGTATGTGACTCACGACCATAATTAGATTGGTGGAGATTAATCATTGGATGTTCTTGGTCGAACGATAAACCGTCATAAAAAGGTATGTAAACTACATTTGATCCAAATTTATTTATTTTTTTCATTTTTTCGTGTTTAAGAATATTACTATTTTTTAAAATGTAAAATATATCGAATTTTTATATTTTAGGGTCAGTTAATTTTTTAATTTTAATTAATATTCTAATTAATTTAATAGAAGGTATTTAAGTAATTACGCAAAATCAAGGGCTCAACAAGAGCCGAGAGTCCGACACGTCAGCAAAAACACTTCTCAAATATTGTTATTATAGATCTCGAAATCTTTAAAACATACGGAAAGACATATTGCCATAAATTATAACATTTCGTCAATACTTTTTTTATCACGTTGAAGCTTTATTCAAGGTTCAAATATTTCACGGGTAAAACATATTCTTATATGAAATAGTCCCAAATTTGAATAAAACAAAAAAAATTTGTAACATGTTTCGTTTTACACAAACGGATCTTGGATCCCGGATAATAATTTTACTTGAATCACTTCATCCCGCACATAGTGCGGGTTGTTATCTAGTTTTACATATTATATTGAAAATACCATTTTCCCAGTTGATTAACGTGACCTTACAAAGACAAGCTGATAATTGATAATCTGTATGGGCCAGATATATCCAAAGAAGGCCCAACTATTAAAGCCCAAAATAAAAAAATGGCTTAGATTAATTAGGGCTCGTAATATGAAACCCTAGTGTTTCTCTTGCCGTCTCTATAAATGACTCTTCGATTATCGACAGAATTCTCCATCACTTCTCACGAACAGGTTTTGATCTCTTTACTTCATCAAAACTGTAGCTTTAAGATTCGCTTAGATATCAAATTCGTTTCTTTGGTTGATCGATTTAGTCTGTCTTTTTTTGATTTGAAATCTCAAATCTCTGTTTCTAATGTTTATGTTTTATTCTTCTTTTGGTTTGCCAATTCTACTGTAGAATTAGGGTTCTTAAGGTGATGATGATAAAACATAATCCCAGCTCTATGAGACCTTTTGTGGTCAAGGACTATAATTATGTTCATACATATATCTGAGCCTTGTCAATTCTAATTTCTTGATTATTAAAGTCTTAGTTAGATTGGTTTTGTTTGGTTTTTGTACATTGTTCTTAAACCAACTTTGTTATTGTGTGCTCTGTTTTTTCAATATTTATAACCTATAGTTTAACTGTGTTCTGTTTTTATATTTAGGGTTCATGTGGCGATGATGATAACATATTATCCCAGCTCATTATGAGGCCTTTTGTGGCCAAGGAAAATAATTGTTATCTATAACATATCTGAGCCAGAAAACCCTAAATTCACATTCTTGTTTTGATATTATTAGTTAATCATGAATTTTATTATAGGTAGGCTTAAAATCTTGTTCCCTATGATGATTTAAAATCAATACCATGCTAATGTATATCTGATAAATTTTTGTATTTGATTTATAAGTGATTTGCTGAGGGAACATATGTTTTTTTTAAGTTTTTGTTTTGGGTTATGATCTTGTTGAAGTTAAGGATTCCCTATGATGGTATTAACCATGCTAATACTGATGTCTTGTGACTGAATCAAAGTTATTTGTCTGAGGGAATCTATTAAGAATTTTCTTCCTAAGTTTTTTAATAGTAATAAATGGGATTATGAAGTAGAAGAATGAGAACCACAAGACCAGTTTCGGCCAAAATTATCTAAAACAAATAGATTGTTTAGAGAAAAAAGTAGGTTACGCATATTCTACACTGACGAGGTACTGCTAGTGATAATCTCTTAACCATTCCATCAAAATAAGTGGAAGAATAATGTCATCTTGTTCTCTGAGATTGATCCAACAAAGGCCCATTTATAAAATCTAGATCTACAAATGCTTCTGTGTTCTATGAACCCATCAAGCTTTGCCCAGTTATTGAGGAGCCCAAGAAGCTCAAAACGTTTAAGACCGCTTCGAGAACGGCAGAAACCAGCATATGAACGGTGTAGTAGACTCGACTAATATTGTGCATATCGAGTTTATTTGGACTAAAGTGTATGAGCACAATGGGCTTGGATTCAAACACTTTGCCACATCAAGTACATTATCAAAAGAGCCAGGACCACTAAAGATATTAAAGAGAAAAACTCAGCATATTTCAGAATCAAGCTAAAAGTCTATAATGTATTTTAGTAACAAGATCACAATACTAATTTCATAATTTTTAAAAATATTCGTAATCTTTTCATATCAACGCATGACATCGGGCAATCATATAGTATCTACTAAGAAAATACAAAAATTTGTTTGTATATTTGTTTTGATTACTGTATCACTAATCCCACCCACCACATGTATATTGAGACAAAAAAAAAAAATGAAGACATTTTGTCACCTACCTAGATGTAGTGATGATCAATTATATAGTTTTCTTGCTACACGTAGAAACCAAATCCGCAATTATTGATTCCAGCCCACTTCAAGAAAACCAAATATGAGTCTAAGCTCCGATCTCAAAAGTTTGGACGAGATGAAGAAAGTTTTGGAGGATTTAACATCGAATGTGAAGCAAGTACAAGACGATTTATTAGAAGAGATACTTGCACATAACGCAAACACTGAATACCTTCAGAGATTCCTCCATGGGAGGTCTGATAAAGAGCTTTTCAAGAAAAATGTACCAATTGTAACATATAAGGATGTTGAGCCTTATATCGAGCGTGTCGCGAATGGAGAGCCTTCAGATGTCATATCAGCCTATCCCATTACTAGATTCACCTTTAGGTATAAGTTATTTTGGTTTTTCTTTTATTTTCTCTAGTTCTTGAAATCTGTTTTATCATATGATCAATGGATCAACTAGCTTATTGATGTTCTAACGGTTGTTGACTTATCGGTATAGTTCTCTGGAACTTCAGGAGGGAAACGGAAGTTATTGCCTTTCAACATGAAGTACTTGGAGAACATCATATTCATCAGTAATCTAAACTCTTTCGTTATATGCAGGTACAAGAATTAAACATTCACTTTTCTTTTTACGAGGACATGTAGTCTATTTGGGAACTTGTAGTTTAGTGTTTTGTATTAGTGTCATCGTCGTGTAACTTGCATCACAAACATGCCTTTTCGGTTTATAGGCATATCTATGGTGCCGAGAAAGGAAAGGTGTTGAAGTTTGCTTTCATTAAACCGGAATCTACAACTCCTTCGGGTCTGCCAGCTGTTCCTGTGAGTACAAACGTCTTAAAGAGCGATTACTTTAGGAACCTAGCATCAAAACATCACACAAGTCCCAATGAAATCACTTTTTGTGGAGACAGTAAGCAGAGCATGTATTGTCATCTTCTTAGTGGACTTGTCCAGAGAGAAGATGTTGTGAGTGTGAGTGCTGCTTTTGCTTCTGCCTTGGTTCGAGCTATCGATTTTCTTAAAGAGTATTGGAAGGAATTGTGTAGTAACATCAGAATGGGTCAGGTGAGCGAGTGGATT